GTCTACAATGCTTTAGATGCCATCCAAAATTGAGTAGTCAGATTATGGGCGATTTACCCTCTTCTAGAGTCGCCGTAGCGAGGCCATTCACTGTGACTGGAGTGGACTTTTGCGGCCCTATTACAACAACGTATCTACTTCGTGGGTACAGAACAACAAAAAGCTATATTGCTGTTTTTATTTGTTTTGCCACAAAAGCTGTGCATATGGAGGTGGTCTCTGATTTGACTGCAAAGGCTTTCCTGGCTTTATTAAAAAGATTTGTAGCTCGACGCGGCTTATGCTTAAAATTATTTTGCGACAATGCAAGTTTTTTGATCAACAAGTACAGGGCAAGATTTAAGAATATTGTACTGCCAATAGTATTGAATTTCATCATATACCACCCAGATCCCCCCACTTTGGTGGACTATGGGAAGCGGCTGTAAAATCAGCAAAATATCATTTGGCTAGAATATTGGGTCAATCGCATCTTACAATTTACAGAGCTGGCAACAGTGGTTGCGGAAGTAGAGGCAGTTTTAAATTCAAGACCTTTGGTAACCTTGTCTAACGACCCAAATGATGAAAGCGTTCTTACACCGGCACATTTCTTAACAGGTGGTCCGTTGGTTGGAACTGTGGAACCTACTGTGTATAGCGAAGAATGGTCTCATAAAGATAGATGGCTACGAATTTCGGCCATACAACAACATTTTTGGAGAAGGTAGTCGGCGGAGTATCCTCATGAACTTCAACAGAAAGTCAAATGGACTAAGAAGCAGAATAACCTCAATGAAGGTGATATGGTGTTAATTGCAGAAGAAAATTTGCCTTCTAAGCAATGGCTAATTGGGAGAGTGCTGAAAGTGACAAGAGATGCTAAAGGTTGGGTTTGAGTTGCTGATGTAAAAGCAAAGAATGAAGAGGTTCGCCGAGCAATCCATAAATTGGCACTCATTCCATCTGAATGTTGATGTCTGCTGGAGCCATCAAAGGCGGCGATATGTTTAGAATTAAGGTTTATACTATTTGTTTAGAATTAAGGTACATTGTATTATGGCCTTTATTTATTTTATCATTTTTAATTGTGTCGTAGCCTTTAAGCATGCGCAAAAAGGCGGCGTGTGGCTTGGAGGTTAGTAAAAAAAAGAAAACGTGAACGTAAAAAGGTCAGTAAACTAACTGAATAAAAACACAGATAATAGATTGAGTTCACTTGGTCTAAAGAACAGAGTATTTTGTCCTTTAGATTTGGTAGTGCCTGACCAGCAAAAAGTGATGACAGAAATCTAAGGCTCTTAACGGAAAACATGTGAATTAGCTTTGGCAGCCATTTATTTATTTGCATTTGTCCAACAAATGGTTCTGTGTAGATGATCTATTTGGTGAAACTGAAGGTTTTGTGTGCGCTATACAGGATTACAGGTAATTATCGCAAACATATTCTTAAAGAGCGAGTTGAGTTCTTAAAGAACGAGCTGGAGACATTATCTCCAGCTGTTCTATAATGGCACCAAGGAAATATCTAAACAGGCACAATGGAATATGTAAGGTAATCTACCAAAATATTGCATTCAATCATGGATTGATCTCTAAAACTTATCCAATTTACCCATATAAACCCACTGCGGTATTAGAAAACGCCAGTTTTCGTATGTACTATGATCGACAAGTTTACACAGATCGACTAATAACACATAACAAAACTGATATAATAGAAGGAAAGAAGAAGGATGGTTCATCATACCTGATTGATGTTGCTATTCCGCATAATGGCAACATTGAGCAGAAGTATGTAGAAAAGATGAGCAACTAAATACCACTGGCTAGGAAAATCAAAGAAATTTGAAAACTTCAGCGAGTGGTTGTTGTACCGATAATATTATGAGCCACTGGTATAGTACCCAAAACTATAACACATGCTATCGACATACGTGAACTCTCTTAACTTTTAATAAATACTATGCAGAAATACGTCTTCTTGCGTAAATATGTAATGGTGAGGGAAACGATCAACATTGTTTAGAAGGAGCAACACAATATAATAGGTGTAGAACATGGACTTCAATTCAACAGAGCATAAATTCCTTGATGCTTGTCATCCAGAATTATGTGAATCCCAGCAATAACACCTGCTGAAATGTAAAATTTAAATAATAATAAGTCTTGCTCAACGTCAACGATTTCGAGCAGCCTCTTTTACTGGGCATAGGCTGTCTATAAGTTGCTTCCAGCTTTTGCGCTACAACGCTATGTCCTTTATATCAGAAATATTGCATATTCTTCTTTCTAGGAACTGCAAAACGGTATTTATTTCATTTAACGTTGACATTCTCCATGTTGTTTTTGGACGACCTCTTCCTCTGCTACCTTGCGGGTGGTATGCCAACGACTGTTGACAAATTTCGGTAGGAGCCTTTCGAAGTGTATGCCCGATCCATCAAAATTTTCTGTTGCGAATGTCAAAGTTGACATCTTTATTGACAAATATTACGACACCTTGTTTTCTGTGCCTTGTGTTCGGTGACACTGGGTTCCATACAATACCTCGTACCTTTCCTTTATTTGCTCTCTTGGTAACTGCGTCAAGCACAACAAAAAACAGCAGTGGGAAAAGAACGCATCCTTGACATACGCCAGAAATTGTACAAAATGGCTGAGACAGTTTGTTGTCATGTAAAACTGAGCACTTAAATTGATCGTAGCTTCTTACAATTACGAAGACTATTTTAACCGCATCACGAATACTTTTCAACTCTATCCATATGCAATTTCGATTTAACGAGTCAAACGCTTCTTCAAAATCGATGAAAAGCAGTTAAAGGGGGGAATTGCATCCCATTCGATTGTTCTATGATTATTCTAAGACTGTTAATATGGTCAACACAGGATCTTTCACTTCTGAAACACTATTGTTCTGATTCACAAGTTTTACCATTCTCTCCAGTATAACTTTCATAAATATTTTCATCACAGAACTTAAAATTGCAATGGCGCGTCAGTTGTTACATTCACTTAGGTCTTTTTTCTTGGATAGCTTGATTACAAAACCATGAAGCCAGTCGGTTGGATAAGTTTCTGTTTCCCGAATGGTTTTTAAGAGTGGGTGTAAGGTATCCGTAATAAAATATTGATGCCGGCGGTTTAGCTGGTCATTTACTTTTGTGACAGGGAGGGTTCCTTTGACGCTCTCGCCTCTTAATTTCTTTGTTGTATCAAAGAAATTCTTCATATAATTTGATACCGCTGCATTTTCGGCTTCATTTGCAATATTGTTGGAGAATTCTTTCTTATCCCCAATTGCCGTTTTGACACGTTTATCCAGGTGTGTGTATTCCGTTTGAGCTCTTTGGATCAATAGGTTTCTTCGTGGTACTTATTCACGTTTAGCTAGTTGGAATATAATAGACTCAGTCTGCATTTGCTGATAAAAATTTATGAAAGCTTTACTATTATTCATCATCAAGGCTAAACTTCATTATAACTTCTTACCTCGACTGCATTACCATTGCTTGATCCATAATGGTAATGCACTTTTATGTATTCTCCGCTGCTGTAAGTACAGAAAGCCCATACAATTCACGAAAAATAATTTACTTTTTCACTTTTTTAAAAATAAAGATGAAGGTAACTTTTAAGACATATGGTCAGAAAATATCGGACATCGGGTGCTTTTTTCAACTGTATGAAAACTTATAATGATAGTACAAGACAGAAATATTCACAAAATGGAATTTTTTTTATTATAATCTGGTAGATAATTACATGGCATTTAGGTTTTGAAGATGATTTCCGGTATATATTCACTGCGGCTAAGAGTTACATGGTCCATTCGCTTAGTCAAATTTTTGACTATTTTCTGCATTAAATGCAGCCGCATTATAACAATGGTGGCATAAACATTGATTTCCAATACTTCGAGAATTGTTGGTTTGTCGGTTGTCGGCATGAACCAATGACTCAATATAGCCTTATAGAAAGTAAGCAAGGAGCGTTAAATCGCGAGAACGAGAGGGTCATATAACAGGACCACTTCTGGAAATAAAGTTGTTACCAAATTGGTTTCGGAATAAATCGATTGTTAAACGTGTTTAATAGCAAGTTGCGCCGTCTTATTGGAAGATCGTTTTGAACTGATTCATTTTTGGAAACAAAAATACGGTTCTTCCTAATTTCGAAAAAAATAAGGACCGATGATTCTCGTAGCATGTAAACCATAACAGACAATCGTTGATAGTCTTGAATTGAGAAGATTAAAATTAGTGCCAAAAAAATGAATAACTGTACGAATTATTTGCTACTATGCCGATTATGTTTACTATAAAATAGACGAAGTGCTCTATAAATTTTGCTAATAGATTTATTTTTTCAAAGTAAATTTCCACAGTTTGGATGTATTGTTTTAGCGTTAAACAACTCATTATAAAATGCCAAACCATACTGGACTGAAATTTCAACACAGTTTGACATTCTCAGCTTTCAAACCATAATTATCCATATCGATAGTTCTCATGTAGCAAAAAAAATATCCGCTATTAAAAAGTAAATGGTAATATTCAAAAAATAAACTTTAAATTAAATTAATTTGTAATTATATATTAAACATCGGTATACTTTTTAAACTATATGGTTTTAAATCATTTGGTTTTGAGATATTGAGAATTCTGTATATAGGCCTCAAAAACGCTCTATTTTTAATACTAAAAAGGATTGAAATGCACCCAATTCCAACCATACGATTTTTTCCATTTATTATTTAAAGAAATCACTTCCCCTATTTATGCCACTTTATTAGGAAACCCCTTGTATGACATGGAAATTCTTACTTCAAATTCTATTACACGGATTTCTGATCATAAACAACATTCAACAGGAACACTTAATGCAGCATTACTGACCATCCTACGATATTACCCTTATGTAGAAAACACTTTTTTCTAGATATTAACGACAAAATTTAGAGTGCATTTTTATAATAATATTGTTTAAATATAACAACATAAGTGTATAGTGCTTACCGATTCTCATTTTTAACAAAAGTTTTTATTTTTATCTAAGTTCTAGCAATCTTCACAATTATTGCATATCTCTTCCTTACAGTCATTATTATCAGAGCTCGTAAATGTTGTTTCATAAAAACGTAATTCCACAGTTTTTTCGTCAGTTGAGTCGATATTATTATCCATTTTAGTTGAAACCCAATTTCGGTTATGATTGCTAGTGGGATCTTCAAATAATGAGTTAGAATTTTTGGTTCTTTGTAATAAAGGAACTTTAGTCTTGCTGTCATCTGACTGAAAGTGTATACTACTGATTTTGCAATCGAATGCTGGATCACATTGGCTTGTTAACTGTTGCTTTAAAACTTTTATATCCTTTTCCCTTTTATTTTCGCATTTATCTTGGGTAGCAATGCTGGGTTGAAGGTCATCGTTGTGTCGCGTTTCTAATTGATTTGGGTCACAGGTACTTCGGTGAGACTTTTTGAACACACATCCAATATTAATTATATTGTTACTTGATAGATGAAAGAAAGGTAAGACGTGCTTAAACTCCTTCCGAAAGTTCTCATTGAGCCAAGCATATAAAAATGGGTTGTAGCATGTTGAAGACATTGCTATAGAGTGTGATACAAAAAAGCATATTGTGTAGAATCGCCACTCATTTGATTTTTCATAAAAATCGTTTAACACATTTACAATATTAATGGGTAACCAAGACAATCCAAATACTGCAACCATTGAGATTAGCATACGGTTTGTTCTTCTTTTACGATCACGATCAGCCTCTTCTCGTTTTGATGATTTCGTTCCTGGCTTTGCTCGAGCACGCGAATTAAGTTTGATGGAGACCCAGATATAACAAATTGATATTATAGTAAACGGCAATGCAAACTGCAATATTGAAGTTATTGAGCCAAAAATTTTTCGATATTGCTCTGATGGCCAATTTTCTTCACAGTATGAAATATTTAAGACTTCTGATGGCATTGTTGTCACTTTTTGTGTAACAGAATCTGTTGGTATTGTTGATTCGTAGTTTATGGTGTCAACTATTGTTACCAAAGACTCATTAATATAAAACGTTTCATTGTTTTGGACTAATTGGTCTATTTTTGTTAAGTTACCACCACTGCTGTCAATTACCACTTTAACGTACATTCCATATGGAAGAGTTGCAAGTAATGATATCATCCAAATCCCTACTATTGTTGAAATACAAGTGCTTAGCTTCATTCGCGGATGAAAAGGATATATAATAACAAAATAGCGATCAATTGCAATAGCAGTTAGCGTTAAGGTCGATATATAAATGCTGCATCCTTGTGCAAATGGTACCAGATGACATAAGGTTCGACCAAATGCCCAACGTCCCATAAAAGTATAAAGTGGTGTAAAAGGTACAGCAAGAGCACATAGTAAAATATCAGAGAGTGCCAAATTAGTAATAAATATATTTGTAACTGTTTGCATAGCTTTATTACGCAGGACAACGTAGCACACCAGCATATTTCCGAAAACACCTAACACAAAAACAGTTGCATATAACAAACAAAAAAATAGTTGCACAGAGTCTTTTGTAATAAGATCAGGATCATTGTAATCACTGTGTTTGGGGTTGGAAGTAATTGTTGAGTTTATAATTTTGATGTACACATTTGCAGAAGGAACAAGGGACGTGGTTCTTAACATTTGTGGTGTTGGCGCAGTTACAGTAATTGTTGCTATTGAAATTGACCTCGTTGTTAATGTCATTGTTAATGTTTTCATAATATTGCCATCTAAATCGCCAATTTCTAACACGAATTTGTTATGTAAACTGTAATATAAGAAATAAAAAAATTAGGACATAATTAATTTTGATTTAAACTACATTAGATTAAATTTAATTTAAATCAAGTTGCACGTGTAAATTACATATAACACATTTAATAAAAATATGTCTATTTTATACGCACATTTTATACTCTTACACAGAGTGACGGGCAAAAATTATTTTGCTTTGGGTTTGTGAATTTTTTACATAAATTTAGAATTCAATTAATTGTATTTTTTTGGATTATTCACAAAACACTAAAATGAAAATTCATAAATGTTTTCGTTTGAGACCAATTTTTATAAAGTTTTGACTATTATATCGTACAAAAGTAGTTAAAATAAACAGTACCTGCTTTTTAAAATATAAATAATTAGGCGAACAAATTGTACAAAGTAAATTTTTTATGAAAAATACTACAAGATATTAATCTTTCACAAATATTATTAGTGGTAACTAGCTTATTGAAGCTTAATTTTTCTTAAAATTAATACCAAGTTGTTGAAGCTATACTGCTTCTCAGCTTGCTGAAATAATATAGTAGTAACCAGCTTATTGAAGCTATATAGTTTTGTTAGAATTAAACCAATTTAAAGAAATTATTACAATAGAAAATTCAGTTAAGCAGAACAACAAAATATAACAGCACGCTTATTAAAGGTCCCTAATAATCTTTTTAAGTATATTATTTATAAGTATAAATGATCTACAATAAAGAAATTTAAATAAATTTGACAACCGTTTTTAAATTTTTTGTGTAAGTCGAAAGGGTAATATAAAATACGTATAAATTACATTGGAACAACCCCTAGCAAACGACTGTGCATCACTCTGGATTGTAGCGTATGCACAGTTTGTGTGCAAATACATTATATTAGGTCTGTTCCACTAGCTACTCATAGTAACTTTAAGTAACACTGTGTACATATACTCAAGTGCGTTCCACTAGCATATTTTTATTTTTGTGTAAATTTTATTTGTGTTTTACTTGAGGTTTACTACGAGTAGCACGTGGAACAGACCTATTAACATATCTGTAATAAAATTATGATCACTTTTTTTAAAGGAATTGTCGGGTTGTCGACTAATTTTATTAAGAACAATTTTTTTTTTAAAAATAACTTCATTAAAGAACTGATCACAATATTGTTTAGCAGCTAAGCATGTCACTATAAACGTGTCTCTAATTATCTCTTTAAGAGCTCAGACCAAATTGAACTGACTGTGTCGTAGCACATGTGCTTATGTATGTTTTGCAAACGAGATTTTTAAGCGAATTTGCTTGTAAACTTCGCTACATCGTTCCCGGGCTAGTGATTGAGCTTAGGTAACTCAATGTCACAAAAGGTTGATTATTATACTTTAAGGCTGCTTTTTTTTTGTAAATTGGTCAATGAAATCGAGGTGTCGAAGTTGGCGTGGAGATACCTTTTGTTTTCTGCAAAAATGGGAATGTAATTGGCTTATGATCGGTTAAAACAGTACATTGTCTTTCTGTTATAATATGTCTGAAATGCTTCATTGACTGATATATGGCAACAAGTTCACGGTCATAAGTACTATAGCGGATCTGCGCATCTGTCATTTGCTTGGAATAGAATCCTAATGGTTCCAGCTATTCGTTGCGAATGTGGTGAATTGTTGTGCCAACAGCGAAGTTACTGACATACAAGTGTAAAACTTAATGTGCTTCTGGTGTCGGATGTACCAGAGTTACTGTGCCGGCTATTGCTTGCCTGCATTATTCAAATGCGGTTTCAGTTTGTTGTATCCAGACAACAAGAGTCTTGTTATTCTTCTTGTTGCCTTTAATAAGAGCTTGTAACTGATATTATAAATCATAGCTAATCTAGGAGCGTCACTTCATTATTAGCAAAAACACATTTGCTCACATCAATTTTTAGAACTTGAAAGAACTTGATCCACATAACGTTGGAACGTCTGCGCCGCATTGCATAGTCCGAATGTCATCACGTTGAGTTCGTGAAGGCGGTTTTGTTCCTATCCTCTGCAGCTATCGGTATATTGAAATAAACTTTTTCAATGTTCATAATAGAGTAGATCGATTTGTCATTAAATGTTTCTGCGAAGTCTTGAATGTGCGGTATAGGTTATTAGCCTGTTGGCATTTGCGCGTTACTTACTTACTTACTGCTGTCTTTCTCTCCTAAGTGATTTGGTTCCAGGAGTAATGTGCGCCTTTAAGCTCCTTCTTCACCATATCTGAGCTGGGGCTACAGGCCAACGGCTGCTTTGTGGGTTCCAGCGTACGGCTTGTTTTGTTATATATGATGATGTTTTCCTGAAGTAACGCCTTGTGTTTGTTCCATGCGTTACCTTAGATCAGTATCGGATATGCGCTCCAGCCACCATATTTCCAGTATTTTTTTAGGTATTTGTTTATGTCGTCAGCTTAACCTAGCGATTGCCTACTCTTTTTATCCCTCTAATCTTGTTGCAAGTTTGATATTATAATTAATAATTATTGTTGTTATGCATACATAAGTGCTGTTAAAAGACCTTATCTATAATTTGATTCCAATATATTAAGGCTTGGTTAAGATACGCGCATAAATTCAGTCAGTCTATTCCATTAAGGACACTGTGCAATTTCGTTTACCTTAAGGTTATTTTCCAAAAGTACTTGTATCTTATTTCCTTTTAAATTGGGCAGTTTGCGACAAAGTGTTTAACGTTTTCCGTTTCCTGTTTATTGCATAGGGTAGAAACTGATAGTGTGCAATTTACATAGGGTAAGTAATTGAGTTTGATGAGTTCGGTACGAGATTTGAAAACTGTACGCATATTTTCCACTGTGTATTTATCATCACAATAATTCGATGTCCTCAGATTGTAAGTTAGTTTTCTGTATATTTGTCTGGAGTAGCTTGTATGTGTTTATGTATATATATGTATTTATATGTATTGTATTAAAATTGTATTTTTACAAGTTTAAAAATTTATTTTATTAATTTATTTACATTAATTAAATATTTATTTGTTGAATTTAAATACAAAATTGTATTTTTACAAGTTTAAAAATTTATTTTATTAATTTATTTACATTAATTAAATATTTATTTGTTGAATTTAAATACAACTAATAATTTTAAATTGACTGTACTATAATAAATTATTAAACTATAAGCTTTAAAAACTTAAAATTAAAATAAATTTGATTTTATACTTACTATACATATTAAGCTATATACTTATATTTATACTAATACTTTTATTTATACAATATATATTTATATTGTACCAATACTAAAATTTAAAAAATTAGAAAATTTAAAATTACGTAAAATAAAATATAAAAATTAAATCCATAAATTTTTTATATATTCACTTTTATTAAATAAAGTGGTTTTTTTTTCATTTAATATATTTAATTTTTTTATATTTAATTTTTAAATTTACTCATAGCATCAAAATATCAAGGATCAAAAAAAAATATACAAAAAGAAACGAAATGCTTTCAAAAACCAATACAAAATGAAAGTGATCTAATATTTTGGTGCAACGCTTTGCTTTGCATTTTATGCAAAGACTCTGCAATGAAATCTTTATTTGCAAAGTGCAAAGTAAATCATCTTAAGTCTATGGTGCAACGTTTTTCACTTTTACTTTGCAAAAAAAAGTCACCCATAAGTTTTCAAAGTGCAAAGTGAAAAGTGTTTGTGCAACAGGGCCCTGATCATTACATGTTTAGGATTGAAAAACATTAATTACATCTGCGGACAGAAAACCATAATTTGAGCTCAATCTTTTTTATCTCCAAATGTAAATTGTAAAACTAGTGAATACATTCTACTACAAATACAAATGCAATATTGTAAGTGATATATAGATCATATGCTCAGTAAGATTATTCTTATCTCTTACTTATCAGGGTAATTTTAAGACTAAAAGTGTATCTAAACCATAGTGTTTTAAAAAAATAAATCAGTATTGGAAAAAAACTTATATACAGACGAATGCATGAAGTATTCACTTCAACATTTAATATAACAAATTGTTTCTAGATTTTTATAAATATGTGAAAGTGTGAAAGAGTTTTTACTGAATAAAGCAGTGTTCTGGAATAAGCAATCGTTACTTAAATTCAAGGCTTCAAATTCAAATTTGTATTAGAAGAAAAAATAATTCGTCGGAATACATGACTTCGATTATTGAATTGAAGAAAACGCGTATTAGTGCATATAATCTTTTATCTGTGTTCGAATCTTTATCTTTAAGGTAAGAGAGTAATGAACTAAATATTATAACATTATTGCCCTTAATAAAAAATTGTATAAAGGAGCATTACATAGAATTTAAGTGGTATTAGGTCCCATACAGTGACGACTACTCTAAGGTGCGGAGGTGTGCGGCGCACACCCTAAAATAATTTGCAAAATGTTATATAATATATATAAATTTATTAAATATCTTTACATCGAGAATTAATATTATTTATTATATTTCCATATATATATTTTTAGAGATTAAAGTTTTATTAAAAAAGATTAAATAAATTTGTCTTAAAAAAACTTAATCAATTTGCTTCTCTTAGTTACTATAGTTGTTAGTTGTGTTCATAAAGTTGCAGCTCAAATCGCAGAACATTTCTATTATATTTCGTCTTTCCCCTTTGTGTGCGGAAAAGTTGGTCACACAACAGAAAAATGAACAAAATAATGTGCGTGCGGTCACGTTTGTAATATAAGAAATAGATATTTATGTAGTAAGGTGAGAATTGTATAAGAGTAATTTTCTGTTCTATTTGAATACCAACTGCATGCATACGAATCCAACATGTTGATTTGCAGCGCACATTTCAGTACATTTCTTTCAAATTTCTTCCCTTTTAGCTGTAGCTCCAACGAATAATAGCCGCTTTGTGTGCGGAGAAGTTGGCCGCACGTACAAACGTTGCAAGTGTGTTCGATTTTGTTTGATCACTGCATAAACATGTATGGTTCTGAGTTAAAACTCTTTTATTTGAAAAAAGTTGGTTTGATGTTATGAGAATTATGTAAAAAGTTTTATTTCTTCCATATTAATATAATATTAAACTTATATATAAATTATTAATTTAATTTGTTTAATATGTTATTTTGTTAATGAATTGTTAATATAATATTGCGAATATATTGTTGCCTAATATAATATAGTTATTATTAATAAAACATCTCATACATTTTAATTTAAGTGGTATATGTAAAAACAACATTATATGGTATAAGAATCGCACGCGTCGCCAGTGGTCCCACATATGTTTGGTGAAAATAAAACACTAATTATTAAAAGGAAAGTAAAAAACATTTTATTCAAAGTATTGGCCATTGCTTTCTACACATTTTGACCATCTTTCTGGCAATTCGTGGATACCACGCCAAAAAAATTGTTCGCCTTTTAAAGCAAACCAACCAGACACCCAATTTTTTGATCTCCTCGTAGGAATCAAAGTGCTGCTCAGCCAATTCTGGTGAATACGGTGGGTGGGGTAGCAGCTCCCAGCCAAGTGTTTTGATTGCATCCTGAACCCCTTTTGCTTTGTGTGCAGGTGCATTGTCATGGAGCAGAATTACCTTGCCGTGTCTTCTGGCCCATTCTGGTCGTTTCTCGATCAATGCATAGCGACCAGCATTGACGGTTTCACCAGGTTTTAGGAGCTCGTGGTACACCACACCTTTCTGCTCCCACCAAACACACAGCATTGTCTTCTTGCCGAATCGATCTGGTTTTGCAGTCGATGTTGATGGTTGTCCCGGATTAACCCATAATTTTTTCCGTTTAGAATTCTTAAAATAAATCCATTTTTCATCGCCAGTAACAATCCGATGCAAAACCGATTTTCTTTCGTGTCTTTGAAGCAAAATTTCACAAGTGTTTTTACGGTTTTCCATCTGTCTTTCATTCAATTCATGTGGCACCCATTTTCCACACTTTTGGATCTTTCCCATAGCTTTTAAACGGTCAGAAATTGTTTGTTGTGCAACATTTAACATTTCTGCCATTTGCTTTTGACCCAAAGTGTCATCTCCATCCAATATCGTTAACAGTTCGGCGTCTTCAAACTTTTTTCACGTTCTTCATTTCTCACATCAAAATCATTATTTCTGAACCGTTGAAACCATCTTTTGCATGTTGCTTCTGATAGAGCATGGTCACGATATGCCTCGACAAGCATTCGATGCGACTCTACACCACTTTTCTTCAAATGAAAACAAAAAATTAATGCTTTCCGCAAATCATCACTTTCTGATACAAAATTCGACATTTTTAACACGATGAAAAAATATGATGTTGTCTGTTCAATGACTTGATGTATACTAAATATATTTCACACATGTCATAGCAAACAAACAAAACAAAAAATGGCTCGTTCACAACAAATGTTCCCTGTCGGAACATTTGTATCTTTACGATCACTTCATACCGGTACACCTGGTATATGTTAACAATAATTCAGTGTCAAATGAATACATGTTTAAAAGGTGCAATTTCATCCTACATTTTTTTGAACACAGATGTATGTACAAACATATATTGCTTGTGAAAAAAGTTATACTGATTTGAAAATTAATAAAATTATTGAAGAAATACCTGATTCTTTATTATAAAAAAGTTCAAATTGCTATAAAAATATGAACAAAAGCATGCCTTGTATTATCTAAACACGAGATATTTCGGTAGCTGCAAAGCTTTCTTAAAGGTACAAAATTGACTGACAGTAGTCGCTAAAAATCACTTGCTCAAGATTTTTGCCAATATGAAGCTACCCTAAAAAGATTATGAATAATAATGGTCATTAGAAACTTTATACTGCATTCTCACGAGAGTCGATTGCAAAACAAATTGATATCAAGAAGATTTGTAAAACAGAATCGTAAGTTTTTAGAAATCAAGTTAATTTTAACTTGGACAGTTTACCGTAGTACAGTATTGTACAGTACAAACATGCTACTGTGCATGGTTTTGAGAAATACATGCAATTTTCATATAAAACGCAACAAAACCTTATTTTAACCCAAATTGAATTAAGTGAAAATGTGTACTACTCAAAAAATTAATGGTAACATCTTATCATAGTAGCATAAAATTATTGAATTTTATATAATCGAGTATTTTATTCAAATATTCATTAATAAGATGATAAGATTATATAAGATTATGAAACTGAATATAAATCTGTAACAAACAATGATTAATTTCAATTCATGGACATATAAAACTATACAAGTTTTTCAACTTCAAAAATCTGTGATATGCCTTTATTAATTAAAATTACAAAATGCATAAAATTTTATGCATTATTTTAGTATAATTGGTTTATACATATCACAGACAAGTTAAAAATTTTGTATCTTGCATTATAAATTAATTTTAATCAAAGAAATAAATATCATAAATAATTTCAGAAAATTAACTAAATATGTGCTCATGTTTAAAAAGCTAAAGTTTTGTCTACTTTAAAAAAGTATAGGAAAGGTTATATCTACAAAGCGCAAGTGCTGAATCTGCTTCGTAAAATTTTGTTCACTAAACAAAGAAAAATACTTATGTACCGATAAAATATTAATTTTCAAATTATTTAATTTGAAATATGTTAGAATTTCAGAGTAGAATGCAACAGACTTGCATCAAATATGTCCAATATGTGAGTAGATATATGTAAATATATCTACTTCTGTTTTCTCAATTTTAATTGTACTATCAATTTTAATGTACACATGCTATAGCAAAACGGATAAGTAAATCAGTCTATTTGGAAATATTGTAATAAAAAAAAATGGCAATATTGTTGAGAGAAACTTATGATGCTTATAAACTTATAATTCTTATAATTGCGTTTACTTCTTTCTGATTACGTTGGTGTTTCGTTGTATTAGCTGGAAAACAAATTGATAGTCATTTTGATTACTGATTTACAGATATCATTGCATTTTTTACCATATATTATTTAAATTTACCAATTAACAATTACCTTAAATTTATTTAGTAAACATGTATTAACTTAAGAATAGTTGATCATTCATAGCTTTAATGTGCAATTGTTCATTCAAAAGCTTCACATATGTTAAAGTTACTTGTTGTTTAAATCTTTGTGTTTAACTGCGTATACGTAATAAATTTTATAAAAAATTTCCGGCTACATATCGACACTTTTATTAAAGAAGTATCAAATTGAATTTTAAGCTTAAAAGAGAAACATATGGTAAGTTATCTTCGAATAATTTTAATCGTCAATTAACACTGTTAGGTATATAATAATATAATACAAAATCATATTTCACTTTATTATAAAAATAAAAATATTTGGTTGATTACAATTTTTACATATAATAAAGAAATTAATTTTATTTAATTTCCTTTAAAGTGATATACAATTTTTAACACCCACTTAGAACTAAAATGCTTTCATTATACACCGGCATTACTATTTTCTTTAAGCAATTTAAAAAAAATTATTTTTCACACAGTTTGTTCCTTCTCACTAAAGAAAGTTTAGTGTGCTTATAAAAGGCTCTATTATTCATTAATGTTTGTGTAAGCACGAAGAAGTAACATATTAATGCTTCATGTTAATTTTGAGAAAAAGCTTTTAAAAGCTGTGAATAAAGTGAAAACTCAACACGTAAGCCCAAATAGCTTTATGAGTGGAATTATTGTTTCAGTAAATATATTTCAATACATGAAGTCTAACCAGACTGTATTATTATAATGACAATGAAATTATTTAGAAAGCATTAAAGAGCTTTAGAGTTTGCGCGAACCGAGCTAGGATTTTTTAGTCAACAAATAGATTAAAAATGCCGCCTAAATTGAATGTTTCCAAAAATGTGATCATGTTTTAATTGGTTATTGCATTTATTGTTGACACGCAGCAAATGTGTATGCCCGTGGTTCTATTTTTTTCTAAGGCTTTAAATCATTCATATTACGGAAGGGTATTAAAATTAAATACTTATATGATAATTCTTACTGAATTCTTATAAGTTTTGTTGCTTATTAATCGGATGACTGTGAACAATGCAGCAACAACTTACACTAGTTTACAAATAATTAAAAATTTTGTTTTCAAAAGGCGTTACCTATATTTCCTATAGGAAAAACTTCCGTAAAACTCGAAAATTACAACGATTTATTTTCCTGTGTAATGTTATTTCCGAAAAACCGTCATTTGAATTTTCTCAAAACATCACCCTGCGTATGCCCCATAATTTTTTTTTGGTGAAGTTACCTCATACTGTATTGTATATCAAATTAAAGGCGAAACTTATACGAATGTTTTAAGTTTCATAGTTATAGCTAACAAAAAAAGGGATGGAAAATGTTTTAATTACGCTTTTTTTTAATTTTTTCGATTTTTAAAGTGATGCGCCTGACTGATGGTAGACTATTTAATACAAACGTGTAGTGACTTGAAATAAAAATTAAAATAAAATTTCAGAAATTATTCGCCATTTTCTAGGTTTTCCCGAAATAGTGGTTTTTATTAACAAATCAGAAAAATTATTTATTCAAAATTATTTTGTAAAGAGGTTTTTTTCGAACAGTAGTGAAATACAACAAAAATTTTACTTTTTTATATTATTTTAATTAATTGAATTTTTGGCTGACCATACAGCTGTTTCGAGTATTGCCAAATATCGATCATCAGTGGTCTTAGAAATAATTCTTGTATTTAATTATTCGTTAATAATTATTTTTTTTGAGACTGCAAGTACCAGGAATCGAACTCGGGTCCTGCCAAATGTGAAGCTCAGAATTAGCGCACCTTAACCTACTGATCCAAAGCCGTACTTGACTTTTTTGTTCGCATATTTTTCTGGAGTTTTGTTACTATTACTATGAAAGTTTTTATTAACAATTTTACTTGCTGTGTTTTTATTAGAACGAAATCATAAATCAGCTGTAGTATAATTAAATTAATTAATTAATTATAATTTTATTTTCAATTGTTAAATTTCAATACTATTCTGTTCATAGAGGCATTATTTGTTGCATGATTTGTTCTTTCTTATGTATAGAACCTAATAATCTAAAATTATTTTGTAAAATTTAAAGTGCCAATCAAAACTACATTATGGAAAATTGTACAAATTTTTAAGGGGTCTTTTATTAATACCCCTTATTTTTTGCATTAATACTCTTATTTGCATTTTTATTATATATTGTATTTATATCTACACAGTTTATTTGAGAGTCGTTCTCAAACTCATTCAAATCTTCGAAAATTATAAATTTCTCGATGATCCCGTTATACCTATTAATATATCACACATTCTAAATTATTTATTTCATAGAATTTTTATGTACGCTTGTGTGGGAAAGGACACGTTAATATAATAGGAATAATGTAAATTTTACAGACATTACCTCGGCCATCCCGTGACGTCCAGGAGTACTCTGCATAGCGCTTGTCTCCATCACTTGTTGTACTTTAAAAATTTGAATTTGTACGTTTATGGCGACTTTCTGCTCCCGTTTGTTCATTTTAACTACTTTTATACTTTATTTTATTTTTTTTATATTACGTTTTTTTAAACCAAAGAAAGTTAATATTTCTTCAGACATTCTCATATCATTTATTTTTATAATAACTTTGAGTTAAAGCATAAATTTTATTTACAATATATGCGATAGCAATTGATCACACTAATTGAGTTTGCACCTAACCACATCTCTTTGATATGGCCTTGTTTATATATATATTCTTTTATATATGTTATGCACTTTTGTTTATTATTTTTAGTAAATTTTTGATGAGTTTTTCTCGATTTTTTATTTTTGCTTATCACTAAAAAAATTAAATAATTTGCAATGTGCCTTACGCGCACGCTGTCAATGAAAAAAAAAAATAAAAAAAACAAATAAAGAATGTAAAATAAAGCTTTTGCATCTGCTGGTCTTTTTGTGGTTTTGTTTATTTTGATCGGTAAAAATTGAAGCGAATTCCACTAAAAAGCTTCATTAAAGTTTGACTTAATGAGAGAAGATGGTGTTGCCAAATATGAATAATCAACATGAATACAAAAGGCAAATCTTAGTTTTATGGAACAGAAGATAGAATCAGCTTTTCTATAGTTCATTCACCTCTAGACAGGTAAACTAAACCAAAACAAAACCAGACAAAGCAAACACAAAAGTAACAGGAAAGTAGTGAAAAGTTGGCGCAAAATACAAAGTTAATAGGACCACGATCGTTCTAGAAGGATTTTCAGTTAGGCGAACTGGCATAAAAATGATATAGCAGGGAGATTGTTCGGTCTCTTGTTCTTGTGACAAAATGTTGTACGTATCGGGTGCTACTGAAAAAAAGGTTGTGAACTTAATTTAATGTGACTGAATGAGCATGAGAAATAAAATTAAAGAAACTAATTTGCTTTAAAAAGAAAAAAAAAAGGAAAAATCATTTTAATTTTTTTTAAATTAATTGTTTTTTAAAAAAAAAGCCAAACCTCTAAAAAGAAAAAAAAGAAGTAAATGAAATATCAATATAATCTGAATATCACAAACAAAGTGGCTCATATCAGAGAAAAATCAGAGAAAAATTCACTAAATCTTGTGTAATAAAAATTTTTAGCACCAAACACAAAAGAAGAAAAAAAAGTGATCAATAAAAAAAAAATTTTGAAACTTTGGGTTGTTATAGACATAATAAGTGCAAGAATTTGTAAGAACGGAAAATAAATATATATTTAATTGCAAACAATATACGCCAGTTTAATCTTTGTGATGATAATGAATGTGGAGAAAAGCTTCACTAAGTGGAACGAGTAAAGGAACGAGTAAAATTGATGAAATCAACAAGAAAAACCGATACAGGAAGCAGTAAAATTGATGAAAGCAACGGCAACATTATACACCGTTAGGATAACACGGCGGTGTCCAGGTATTTCTACATGGAAATCCAACTGAGAACTAGAAGACATGATATAAGGCAGGCCAATGATTTAAACATATACAAAGAAACAAAACAAATCCAATTACTGAGTCAACATATTTTTTTATTTATATTTTTTTTGTTATATACATTAGTTACAAAAAAAATTGAGTCGCTGAGGGAGTTAACATAATTGCAAAGAGTTTTGTTTTTGAAAGCAGAAAAAAAACAATTTATAAACTGAATTTAATGCAAAAAAAAAATTATTTTTTTGATTTGAATTGATTTGTGTAAATTTGTATAATATGATCTGAATATGTGTAATAATAAAAGAAATAAAAAAGAAGAAGGTTGACATGCAAATAGACATTTTTTTCAATTAAGTAGCAAGGAATTTTGTTTTTTTTTTGTTGTTGAATAATATGAAAAATTTTTAAAAATTGTTAAAATTTGCACATAACACATCGTTACAGAGAAAAAAGAGAGAATAGAAAACTTATAAATTTGTTTGACCATACACATATACATATATCTATATTTTTTTCATTCTGTTATTGTTTAAAAGTTTCAGCTAGGTCAATAGCAACATAAGTGACGTAATTTCTGCGACTGTAATTAAGCGACTAAAGTTAATTAACTTGCAAGAGAAAATTTGGTATCTCTAATTAAATTTATATGTTTCCTCATTTTTATTTTATTTCTATCGGTATTGTTCTCTTTTATTTTTATTTCGCTGATTTAACAGGCATCTTGCCTTAAAATTTTGCTTTCTTTTCGCCAACTTCATTTTTGGGTTCAAATTATTTGGATTTCTTTTATGTTTTTTTATAATTTTTTTTTAATGTTAATCTCGAGAGTTCCTTATATATATATATACATTATTTGTTTATTATTATAGTCTTGAAATTTGTAAAAGCACGACTTTTGTTAAACGTAACGAAATATAATATAAAGAAAATATTGTAATTTTTTTTATCAATTTTTTTTATGTAGTATAGAATAAAAATCTAATTGAATTATTTATATAAAAAGAAGTGTTAAAATTTACGCTATCTTCTTTTATTATCTTTTATTATCTTTTTGGGTTTGGAGTATATATTTGATGTTTTGCCTTATGCTTTAATTATTGATACTGTAAATAAATTTTTATCATTGTAACATTTGCAGTCTTGATTTGATTCTAGTATAATAAACATATCATTTTTATAATAATAATAACTGTGTTTCATATAATAATAAAACTTTAAAAAACTTAACAGGTTATGGGCCAAGAGTTCGCGTGTTTTTGTTTTTTTGTGAAATAAGTTAA